CTGATTTTGTGTCTAGTCATCCCTTTCGTAGGCAAATTCCAGGATATTCACTAGTTACCTGTAGATGTCAATACTGTCCACAGAATTACATGTCCCAACTTTCTCTGTGACACCTTCAGGACCGAAGGTGTGTGTTGAAACCTTGTTGCTATAATTGAGGAAAAATGACACCTTTCCTGTTTTTACCCAGAGCTGGCTTTCCATGCTGAGGGCCATCCATGGAATGTTAGATTGGGCTGTGATATTCATCAAACCTGGTATCAGGAGAAGCCCAGCAACAGAAGGTCAATTGCTTTGCATCTTAAATAGTGAAGTGCAGACTGCAATTCCTGAAGAAAACCCAAAGTGGCAAACATGCTTGGTTGCCTGGCATTTCTCTTGCAGTGTGGAAGCTAGCTAACGCTTGAGGCAGGAGCAAGAGGAAACATGGTCTCCCACACACTATCTATGACAGGCGGTAGAATTGCACTTTAGACATGCTGGCAAGAAGTTTGTGACAGCAGAGGGCAATCGATAGTTTGTATTAGGATTAGTACATTGATGTTAGGTCCCCACTGGACAATAGTACGGCCACAAGACGGCAGTCCTTCAACTTTCTAGGGTTTTAACTGAAAGCTTGAGCTATACTAATGCCAGTTTGGGGCGGGTCCTCCCTTTGCTAACTCACCCCATTAAAAATAAAATCAAACTAATTTACTCCTGCTGCTGTTCCCCCAAATGTCTTTCATTTTAGTGGTTTTTACCTTGCCTTGCTGAGTCTACACCTGCTACCGCGGACTACACTTGATACCTAGACGCATACTGCCTTCATATTCAAATCTTTGATTCTAAAATTATTCTAAAACCTTCTAAAAACAGGAGAATAAAATAAATAAATTACTCATGTTGCTGCTGTTGCTCCCACGTTTTTTTAAAAACACCTTTCATTTTAAAGGTGTTGCCCTGCCTGGCTGAGACTTAAAGTGAGACTATGCCTTCTACCTCCACAGATGCAAGTTGCTTTCAAACCTTGCTTTCTACATTTATTTTATTTAAATTGTGGCGGTGGTGTATTTAAATGGCTTTAATGGTGGGTTAGTCTCACAGTGTGACTACACCTTCGCAGGCACTACCTGGAATTACTGACATTCTCTATCACAGAACGATTGGGACGACGAAAGCTCTGTACAAGGATTTCATATACTTTTACATTTCACTATGTCCTTAGGTGGGAACATTTATTTTTACCCATTTTTGTATTGAATTTATTGATTTTGGCTCTATTGTTATAATACATTTGTTCTATATATTATTTTTATCAGTACACATTTTTCCCCCCCTATTTTACATTTTTATTTTCTTTTTGCCTGGCTCTACCACAGACTGTTATCTTCATTCTTTTTATTTACATACCTATGAAAATCAAGTTTTAAAACGAAAATGACTTTTAGTATCTAAATACTTTGTTTCCTGTGCACAGGGCATCTTTTGATACTGTTTAGAAGTGTGACATTCTAGTTACTGAAAATATTACCATTTAAGTGATATGGTAAAACTGTGCTTTGTTTTGATTTATTTTGCTGATTACATAGGTTATTAGATTACCCTATTTTTACCATTATCCCCCATTTGCATTTTATTTCCCTAAACACTCCACTGATAAAATGTATAAACCTAACAATATCCTATGCCAATCTCTATCTTCCATCTATTACAACCCTCACAGTTCCCATCTCCTAACTCTCACTCACTAATCACAAACACTAAATCCTCTGCCCTCACGACTCTCGTGTCCTTTTTCCCCCCTTTCTAATAGCAGGCAGAAGCTTTCCTGGTATGCAGCCTGGGACAGAGAAAGAGGTGGATGTAGTCAGTGTAGCAGAAAGGGTATATACCACACAGCATGATGACAGTTGGAGGTTGGTCTGTTAGAGAGATAGAAGCAGCACAAGAACGTGCACACTGCAAAAGACAACTTTAATTTATTTTATAGTTAGCCAGTCCGCACAAGTTTTGTCCGCCCTGCATCCCTATGAAGTTCACATTCTCTATTCACTCTGCACAGGAGCAAGAACCTATTCCACGGACCCAGATCTTGAGCACCAACTTCAGTAGCCCCTATTTGAATCCAGCCCTGGATATAAAACAACCCATCATAAAAGTAAAATATAAATATATGCATACATGTGTATACAGTCACAGGACAGGCATGCATACACCTGCTAACCCTGGTATATGCATATTCAGCCTCACACACACGCATAAATTCATACATTTGCCATCATACATGCATTTGTCCACTGAATCCTATCCGCTCATGCATGCATACTGACATGCCCTCATTCATGTATAGGTACTGACATGCCCTCATTCATGTATAGGTACAGACATGCCCTCATTCATGTATACATACAGACATACCCTCATTCATGCATGCATGCTGACATGCCCTCATTCATGTATAGGTACAGACATGCCCTCATTCATGTATACATACAGACATACCCTTATTCATGCACGCATACAGATATACCCTCATTCATGTATACATACAGACATACCCTTATTCATGCACGCATACAGACATACCCTCATTCATGTATACATACAGACATACCCTTATTCATGCATGCATACAGACATGCCCTCATTCATGTATACATACAGACATGCCCTCATTCATGCATGCATACAGACATGCCCTCATTCATGTATACATACAGACATGCCCTCATTCATGCATGCATACTGACATGCCCACATTCATGTATATGTACAGACATGCCCTCATTCATGCATATGTACAGACATGCCCACATTCATGTATACCTACAGACATGCCCTCATTCCTGCACACATAAACACATTCACCTGTGTGAATATTTGTAATCTTCATTTATAAATGCACGCACTCCCGCTCTCGTAATCAAAATTATTCAACCCCCATTGATAATCAGGTTTATTTTATTAATCATTTTGAGACTAGAGAAGTCGTTATAAATTACATTATCAGCTGAATTCTGGGAAACCACTTGAAGCATTCGTTGTGTTACTTCAATCGATTTTGTTTTATTTGTTTATTGCAAACAGCTGAAAGCCTGTGAATATTGACAATAAACCTAATTTTCAATGGGAGTTGAATAATTTTAATTTCCACTCTATATGAATTATGACCTTCATACATACAATGTAATTACATGACCCACCATTGCAGTGGCATTCACACAATCCATGGGACCCAGTGCAAAACTGATCCATGGGGCCCCCCCATCTCCCCCACCGCCACCCCATACAAACACACAGAGATACATGAAAAGGAGAAATAAAGAAACAAGGGCAGCCCTTGTTTCTTTCTTTCTCATTTTCAATATTATTCCTAAGGGTTCTTTGAGGGATTCCCTTATAGGGTTGCTGCCCATATGTTAGTCAGCGCTTACTCACTGTTTTGCTTTTACACAGAGATACATACAGACACACATACATACATACATACACATATATATATATATATATATATATATATATACAAATACATAGACACACACATACACATACAGACACACACATGCAGAGACACACATACACACAGATAAATACAGACACATACACAGACACATATATACATAGAGACACGCATACAGACACACACAAACAGACACATGCATAGACACACAGACACACATACATAGACAAACAGAGACACACACACTAACACACACACATGCAAAATATTTTAATCACCCTCCTATTACCTACCTTTTAGGTGCAGGAGGGTGACTTCCCTGGGGTCCAGTGGCTTAGGTTGATGGGAGTCAGAGTTCCCACTCTGACTCCCTCTGCTTTCTCCCGCACGGCTCCTGGTGGTTGCTGGGAGGAGTGACTGCGGCAGTCACTTCCTCCCAGCATCTGACATCAGAGTAACAGCATGGGCCACTCGATGGGCCTGTTCACCTGTGGCCCCGGCAATTATACTGCGCTGCCGGGGCCGCAACACATGGCGGCGAGCACCTGGTCGCAGGGGTCTGCAGGGCGGCCGGGCCCCCTGGAGTGACAGGCCCGGTCGCAGCTGCAACCCCTGCGACCGTGGTATGTACGCCGCTGCACCATTGTGACATGCTAAAAGAACTAAACTGGCTGTCGTTGGAATCCAGGCGCACCCTTCAGCTTTCCAGCCTAGTGTTTGAGAGCTTTTCTTGGAAGCTCCTATCCTACCTGAGCAGAATGTTCTCCTTGGCTGTTCCCACCTCATATAACCTCCGATCTAGTACCAGCACTTTATTTAGTCTACCTCAATACAAAAAGAAAGCTGCACTATCCTCCTTTTCCTACAGAGCACCGCAATCATAGAACGACCTCCCGCACACTTTCAAATCTTCCCCAAGCCTAAAGTCCTTTAAGAGATCCCTCTCTACATACCTCAAAACAGAATGCACGTGTCATGGTTGATTATATATTTCCTACCTGTTTTATGATAAATTTTGTATATATTGTGTATTAATATAGTTTTTGTATTTTATTGTAACCTATTGTATTAATGCAATGTTTTGTGAACCCAGGACATACTTGAAAACGAGAGAAATCTCAATGTATCCTTCTAAAATATTTTATAAATAAATAAATTCACACATGCAATGGACAGGCAAATGATCCTGTTGGCTACTAGGCTCTTCACTCTGTCCACTACACTAGTTTCTGAAACTGGATGGCTGTCTGAAGGACCTACCAATATATAGGGATCAGCAATTGCTTGACTTTCAAGGATCCCTGAGGTTTTAGAGGATATGCAATAGTGTATACATGCATCCTATGTATACAGGGTATGTAGGTACTTTTGTTTTTTAATTGAGTGCTCAGTCTACATTTTGAACTATACCCACTCTCTCTCGTTATGTATATGTGCTTTAAGTTAAAGTGTGTAAAAAATATAATTTGTGATGAATTTAATTTAATTAGCTCTAATTCAAATACATATGAAACATTATTGAAAAATAACTGCATTGATTTAATTTATAATATTGCTCAAAAATATACAATGCACTTGTTTTTACATACATAAACAATATAAAACCCAACAAAATAAAAACACCAAGAGATGCATTAGCACATGGAAAAATACATTGCCATATGCAGGTTAAAAATACTAGTGTCACAGGTACATTCATTTTTAATTTGTAGGGTACTTACATTGAACTACAGCATATAGAAAATGATGAGTCAGCAGTCCAATGACATTTCTTCATAACATTTAAAACTATAATAACACAATTCTCCAAAATATTGATAAATCGGGTGAAGGTACCAATACCCTTTGTTTGACAAGAATTTGCTTTTGTTGTAACAAGTACAATTTTCAGGCTATGTAATTAAAAAGGTACAAGCAGTAGCAATCGATAAAAAGTATTTTTTAAAACACTGATGTTCCCCATACAAAAGTGCTTTTTTCCCCCCGTAAGAGTGAACTTGTTTATAGAATGATTTTAATCAAGAAAAAAAAGCAAATTTAGTGTTTAGGAACTCTGCTATTTTGCGGCCTATTTACCAAGTCTAGAGGTCCATTCACTAAACTATCAGGGTCATTCCCTAATTCAAGAATTGTGGAGAATTCCGACAAGGCAAAATAACCACGCTGGAAAACAAATGGGTTAGAGAATTGGTCTGAATATACTGAGTATACTATTGTAACAATGACATTAAAGGGTATCTGTGATTTAGTTATATATATATATATATATATATATATATATATATATAATGTCTCTCTGTGTCTTTGCACACACACTTTAAATTTCAAAATGCCGGGTGCACTTTAGCCAATGCCATAAATTAACATATGAATATTGAAAAATGGCTTCCACTCACGGTCTTTTTTCTTTTAAAAGGTTCCTTTATTTCATTCCTTTAAAATGTGATCGACGTTTCAGCCAACATCAGTACTGTACTGATCCTGATGAAAGCCACGGATGTTGGATGAAACGTCGATCGCATTTTAAAGGAATGAAAAAAAGGCAGTGAGTACAAGCCTTTTTCAATATTTATATATATATATATATATATATATATATATATATATATTTTTTTTTTTTTTTTGTGTCTGTGATTTAGTTATTATATATATATATATATATTTATATATATATATATATATATATGTATGTGTATATATATATATAATATTTTTGGTATTAGTGACTTAGTAATTATATTTTTTGTTTCCACTTTTTTGGCTCAAAGGGACATTATAGTCACCAGAAAAACTACAGCTTATTGAATTTGTTCTGGTGAGTAGAATCATTACCTTCAGGCTTTTTGTTGTAAACACTGTCTGTCTTTTCAGAGAAAATGCAGTGTTTACATTACAGCCTAGTGATAACTTCACTGGCCACTCCTCAGATAGCTGTTAGAGATCCTTCCTGGGTCATGGCTGCCTAAAATGCATCCACACATTCATTGTCTCCTCTCTCTGCATGCAGACAATGAACTTTCCTCATAGAGATTCATTGATTCAGTTCATCTCTATGAGGAGATGCTGATTGGTCAGGGCTGTGTTTGAATTGTGCTGGCTCTGCCCCTGATCTGCCTCTTTGTCAGTCTCAGCCAATCCTATGGGGAAGCATTGTGATTGGATCAGGCCACCACTTCTGATGATGTCAGATGTCTGAGGAAGTTCACAGGCAGAGGATTCAGCTTCAGACTTGAATACAAGTAAGATTTTACTATCTTTAGGGAGGCCAAGGGGACTAGATAATGGTTTTAACACTATAGGGTGAGGAATACATGTTTGTGTTCCTGACCCTATAGTGCTCCATTAATTAGTACTCTTTTTTTTATGATGAAGAAAAGTATCAGTGAGTTCTCATTATCCCTACGCTGAACACTCCAGTATTTTCTAGTGCTTTGGTTTTAGTTAAAATCAGGGGTTATCCCCCATTTGGAATGTTTAAAGGTACCTAGCAAATGTTTTTTTTTTTTGTTTGTTTGTTTCATACGTGTATGTATTCATACTACATTTAGGGTATTATCTTTAGTTATTTACTAAACTCCAAATGGTATAATTTAGGCAAAAACTGCTGATTTTGAAAAATTCTCCAACTCTGTTTTAGTCACAGTGTGGTGGTTTTAGCCATAATCTTAAAATTGTCAATTTAAAAAATAAAAAAAATAAAAAAATAATTGTTTTGGTACATTACCCTGACTTTCTGCCACTCTTTGTTACCCTGGTTCCTTACTTGGGGATTTTGTCTAAACATGGGCCATCATATATCTTGAGGATGTGGTTGGGAACCACGGATTTAAAGCATTCTTAGAAAAGGTGCCCAAACATAAAGTACACTAAAAGATACGCGCTAAGCATTTCTAATGCAACTTTATACTTTGCAATGCATAATTAGAAATAGGGTTAGCCTTTCATTCACAGTAGGATAGAGAAACATATATTTTATGGCAGATATGCCATAACATATAATATTGAATAAGCAATATATTTAAATTTGTCTGTCTAATAATTATTAAATAATTTTATTGAAAAGGAAATGTGATGAGTTGACGGTTGCAGCACAACATTTTGTCCAAAATGGCCACATAAAATCTCAAATTGATAGAATATTCTAGTTGAGCTATTTTGTCCTACATTTTACAATTTAAATATCAGTTCAATACCCAGTAACACTTTTAGGCATCGCAATACCGTCTCCTTTACAAAAGTTAGCACTAATGCTCCAGTTTGCCCCCGTTTAACGCACAGCCCCTTTCATGTCCCATTTATTGGTTCCCATACAAGTAGGCAGTTATTTGAGGTAAGAAAGTTAATGCATTTTTTATCCAGACAAATGGATCTTAAATTCTGTTTGATTCATCAGTCACTTTTACTCCTTATTTTAAAAAATAAATATAAATAGTGTACATGTTTGTTTTCACATTTTAAAAACGCACACCCTGGTTTCCTTGAATAAATTAAAATGATATGGTATTCCAAATGTCCTTTTTTATACATGTTTATTGGGTAGAAATGCTCTAACATCTCCTCTAATGTTCTTCCATTCGTGTTCACACAGGGGTAAATTTCTCATAAGACAAGCAGGGTCATTAGGCTAGAATTTTAGTGAAATGTAGCCTTTAAAGGGTTACTCCAACCACCATGATCACTTCTGCTTTTTGTGCAGTGTTTTTTCTTGAAACAGTGCACATACTGGGTTATTGGCACTTGTGTGACAGTTGCTGTTTGCAACCCTAGCACACAACGTGGCAGCCCACATCTCTGTTCCGGGCTGCCTAATTATGTGTTTATTTAACATCTGTTTTTAGCTCTGGCCACCCTCCCTTCCTCTCTACTTGCAGTCCCTCCCCGCCTCCCTCTGTTGGATAGATCAGTTTAAAAAAATAAAAATTTAATAGCAGTCCAGCCATGCGTGTCTCCTCCCACCCCTCACCGGCTCTGAGCATGCGCATGCACTCCGAGCCAGTGAGAATGGTCCTATGAAATGCTTCTTCATGAGAAGCATTTCATTAGACTGTGTGAGGGAGCCTGTGGCCTGGAGAGAAGTGCCGAGAGCATCACCCGGGACTGGATTGTAGGTAAGTTTTACCATGTAATCATGCATTTTGTGGAGGGACCTAGTTAGCAATAGGTTGGAGTAAACTTTTAAAGATTTTTGAGTGTGTAAGCAAATTACAAGCTTGGTAGTTTAGTAAGATGCATGCACACCCACCATCGTAATATGTTGTCATGCACCAGGAATTGTATGCATTTCTGCTCTAAGTATTGTAGGATTCCCAATAGTCCCTATTATGGTGGGACAGTCCCGATTTTCGAGATCCTGTCCTTCCATCCCAATTTTGTCCATGGGCAGCACAGTGCTGGTGCATCATTGGACGCCCTTGCATTGTGAAAAGGGACTAGGACTGTGCAGAGAGTGCTTCAGCAGCACTGTGTGCATGGTCCTGTATGTTGGGGGCTGGCCAAGTGGGCTGTCAATTAGCTTAGCGTGCTTCATACCAGGTTGATATGCTTGATCAATGTGCAGGCCTGCCTTTTTTTCCACCCAGCTGTCCTGATCTCATACCTCCCAATGTTGAGATGTATGGCTATTGTGGATTTGCACAGCTCATGATCCTAACTGTATGATAAAAGTGTGGTGCTCTTGACTTGTCATTTGAACCCAATTTTAGTTCCCTAAAAGCAAAACCACAGATTTTAGTTCTCCTGTTAACATGCAACTCCAGAGACTGGTAAATATTCCCCGAAATATATTTCTATTTTCTCATTTAATGATTTCTGAATTCCAGTCCTGATTTAGCTTTAAGCCCATATTGTCAAATGAGAAATCAAGCCCTGTGTATTTGTGAGCTTCCAATGTTGTCACATTACAAACAACTCACGTTCTCATTTAGTGATCCCACCCCGGTCTTTGTCACTTTATCTAATGGATGCAATCCAATAGTAACCAAAGAATAGTCGTTTGTTTTCTTTTTTTGTTCTTTCTTTAAATTCTTCATTTGGGCAAGCTGAAGTTGGCCCGAGTTGTAAGCCAATGCAGGAATAGTATTTACTAAGATTAATTGTAAAGGCTTCTTTTCTTCCCTGTATCGACACTGAATGTAACGGGAGAATGCAGACCGGTAAGTCTGATTAAAGAGTGTGTACACCAGTGGGTTTACTGCCGAAGACAGGTAGCCAATCCAAACAAATACCTTCAGTAGTTCTGTAATGATATGCTCATTGCAAGACTCTTTGCAAAACACGGCCATCACATTTGTGATGAAAAACGGGCACCACATCACCACGAAAAGAAAAAATACAATACCCAGGACCTTTGATGCTTTCTGCTCATTACTAATGGACTGCATAGTCCTTCTTCCATATGGAGCCAGTTCCTTTTGCAAAGAGCGCTGAAATAGTTTCTCTGAAGAAATAGAGCTTTGAGGAAGGAAACTGAATAAAGCAAGTTTGCTTTTTGCCCCCAGGTTGTTAAAACACAAAGTAGCTTCTTTCTGCAGAGATCTTATAGTTAAAAAATATGTGACCAGCATTATGAGCAAAGGTATAAAAAATGCAATAAAGGAACCAACAATGATAAAATTCTCATCTGCCAAAGAACAGTTTTCTTGGCTGAAGACTTTGCTGTCATCTTGTAGTCCAAACACAGGCACGGGCATGGAGATACCTGTGGGTGAAATTAGAAATAGTTAAATGCTGTCAATATAAAAATTTAAATTGAATCTAATTGAACATTCGCTAAGAATTCTCTTTTAACAGGACAGAATACACTGCAGAAGTTATTTATTGGTAATTGTTTTCTGAATATCCCATCAATTATATCATTTATATTTGTATTGCATATAATGTATTCTAAACTCTAATTGTATTCTAAACTCTAGCTGTAAAGGAATACTCAAAGCTTGCTGTAGTGGTTATGGTGCTAGGTGTGCCGTGATGTCTCCCTAGTGTAAGTAGTCAAACTGTTTTAGGATTTAGCTCAGGAAAGCTAACGGAAGCTACTACTTAAGAGCTTCCACCTCTTAATCATCCGTGCTGGAGACAAGAGCAGACTAATTCAAACCACTGTAAAACAGCAAGCTGTAGTGGTTATGGCAGTAAAGTATGTATCGAGAGGCTAACAAGGCATTTGCCTTGGGCGGCACTTTGCAGGGGGCACAAAGTCCAGCTGGTTGCCTTATTAGCCTCGTGTGTTGGGGGGGCCCAAGAGCTAGCCAGCTGGCTACCTTTGGGCCCTCCCGAGTTGCGCGGTAGCTTGCATTGCGGTCTGGCGGCGAGGGAGTGCTGTACTCTGAGCTCTTGCTGCTCAGCTCCCTCGCACAACGTCAGTCCATCAGTCCGGCTCCCAACATCACTAAGTGCGCACGAGGGAGCTGAGCAGGAAGATCAGAGCTCCCTCGCTGCCAACTCTGCCTGTCCAACCCCTGCCTGCACGCAGACCTGTCCAGCAGCACAAGCAGTCCCAAGAGCCAGCCCAGCAGCCCCACTGGACCCCAGGTAAGGAATCCTCTCCAGCTCTCCAAGGGAGGCAGGATGGATTTATATTAAAAAAAATTTAAAATAATAATTTGTGAGTGTTGGGGGAAATGTGTATGAGTGTGTGTGTGTGTCTGTCAGTTAATGTGTGAGTGAGTGTGTGTGTGTGTGTCTGTCAGATAATGTGTGTGTGAGTGTGTGTGTGTGTGTGTCTGAGTACTAGTGTGTGTCTTTCAGAGTGTGTCAAATTAGTGAGTGCGTGTGTGAAATCAGTGAGTGTGTGTGTAGGTCAATGAGTGCGTGTGTCTGTCAGTGAGTGCGTATGTCTATCAATGAGTGTGTGTTAGTCAGTGAGTGTGTGTGAGTAATAGTGTGCGTCTGTCAGTATGTCAAATCAGTGAGTGTATGTGTCTGTCAAAGAGTGTCTGCATCTGTTGGTGTGTGTCTGAGTAATAGTGTGTGTGTCAGTTTGTCAAATCAGAGAGTGTGTGTATTCTACTGTATCTGAGACTGTGTTCCTGTCAGTGAGTGTGTGTGTCAGTGAAAGTGTGTGTTGGTTAAAGTGTAGTGTGAAGTGTGTGTGCCAATGACTGTATTTTTCAGTGAGTGTATGTCAGTGCATGCATCAGTGAGAAAGTGTCTGTCAGTCAAAGTGCGTGTGGCCTTGAAAGGAAGGGGTGGGGCAAATTTTAATTTGGGGAGAGGGGGTGTCTGAGTTTTGTCCTACCTAGGGCAGCACAAATCCAAAATACACCACTGGGTTATGGTGCTTGGAGTGTTCCTTTAAAGGGACACTATAGTCACCCAGACCATTTCAGCTCATTGAAAAATGCTTTCCTACAGACACTTTGAATGCAAGCGCGGCAGTGCAACGCATGTGCATTCGGTGCTGGTGACGTCAGACAAGGACGCTGACGTCGGCGGGGGAGGAGAGGTAAGGGAGCCGGGCGGGGGAAAAGGATGAGTAGCTGAAGGGGATTTAACCCCTTCAGCACTGCGAGATGGGGCCCTGAGGGTGGGGGCACCCTCAGGGTACTATAGTGTCAGGAAAACCAAGCGGTTTTCCTGACATTATAGTGTCCCTTTAACATCTCGGTAACATAAAATGTTATTAGATCTTTAACAATTGCAATAAAATCCATGTAGCTAGCTTTTGATTGAAATAACATAAACCTGTGCTTTTTGCTGAGGATTATAACCACTGTGAAGTTATTTCGACGACAGATGCTTTGCTGACAGCTTTGAAAACAAATAAAACTGGTGGGGTGCTGCCACAAGTTCCCCTATAGATGAGCCTCCACTGGTTAGTACCATATTAACTACAGCACACTTTAGCATTAAAGGACCACTATAGTGCCAGGAAAACATACTTGTTTTCCTGGCACTATAGTGCCCTGAGGGTGCCCCCACCCTCAGGGTCCCACTCCTGCCTGGCTAGATGGCGAGGAAAGGGGTTAAACTTACCTTTATTCCAGCGCCGGGCGGGGAGCTCTCCTCCTCCTCTCCACCTCCTATCCTCCTCTTCGGCTGAATGTGCATGCGCGACAGGAGCTGCACCCACATTCAGCCGGTCTCATAGGAAAGCATTTACAATGCTTTCCTATGGACGCTTGCGTGTTCTCACTGTGATTTTCACAGTGAGAAGCACGCAAGCGCCTCTAGCGGCTGTCAATGAGACAGCCACTAGAGGCTTTAGAGGCTGGATTAACCCATTTATAAACATAGCAGTTTCTCTGTTTATAAAAAAAGGGTTAATCCTAGAGGGACCTGGCACCCAGACCACTTCATTAAGCTGAAGTGGTCTGGGTGCCTAGAGTGGTCCTTTAGCCAAGCACCAACAGAGAGGCCTGGTTATAGTTGCTGAGAGAGCACAAATGAATACTACGAAAAGGGTACTGGGAATCCCGGCATCAAGTGGAAGGGGATGGGCATTGTGTCAATATAGGGGCTATATCACCCCTAGAAGTGTATTGAGGAGAGGCAGCATGCCAGTTTTACTGGCAGGTCTTGGGTGATCCTAGGAGTGTTTTGGAAGGATGGAAATTACACTTAAATAGGTCTCCCTTAAATGTCACAATTTTAATTCTTTACACAGTAAGGGAGATTGGGGGGACCAAAGACTAGATATAACCTATATATTGTAGGTATACTCTAGCTGAAAGCCAAGGGGACAGTGGAAACTAGCTGACTTGAGCTATTTGAAGGAATATTTCATATCTGAAGGAATATTCTTTTAAAGAATATGGAACACTCTGAGAGATTGAAAAAGGAGTATATGCAGATATGTGCACAGTGGATAGGACTGCACGGTTATTATGCCGGTTCCAGTCTAGTGAATTTCTTGATTTGTATAAAACTTTTCTTAAGGATATAAGGAATTTAAAAGGAAACCTATTTCAGCTTGTTGACAAAATCAACTAATAAACCAAAAAAACAGAAAACAGAGAGGACTGGTTATAGTTGGCAAGAACACCCTGGATTATGTCAGGCTGCTTAAAAACAAACACAAACCATGCAGATTGTGCCCACTGACACTTTGCACCATAATCACTACAACAAGACATAATTTTTATGATACTACGAGTATCCCTTTAAGAACTATAACTTTTCAAGCTTGAATCTTTGGGGGAAAGAATCAGGCAGTGACACATGAACCAAGTTCCTTGCATAGAAAAAAAACATGTATATCAATAGTAATATTGAATTCTTAAGTGCATAATGATAAAAATAGAGATGCAGCTAGAGGAAAAGAAAAATCCTAGGTCAGTAATGTACGCTTGGTTTCAACAAACCCTCCATAAACCTTTCAGCTATCACAGTTGGTAGCCTGGATGAATCATTAGTTATTTGATATGCTCCACAAGCATCAAGGTAACTCTGTGAGACTCGAAATAACTGAAGAAATCATGGCATTATTTACAAAAATATTTTCTCTACACTAAGAATGCACCTGAATTCTAAAACATAATGATAAAAAAAAAAAAAATCCAATTAAATAATTAATATTTGCAAATTTGCCACACTAAGCTGATAATGTTTAGTGACAAGTAAGCTGAATTGCTATTAAACTTTATCATCTAACCAATAACATGAAATGCCTCAGTATTTTAGTTCAAAGGAAATTTAAGGACTTTGGTATTGCACTTTTTAAAACATCAAATTAAGCACTTGAAAAAAAATGGGCAGATCTGTTGACTCCATCAGTTCTCTTTAGAAAACAAAACATTGTAAAAAGGTACAAATATATGCATATTGCTGTGCTCTGTATTGGTCTCTCAGATCATTTTTGGTACACAAGGTAATACAAATGACCATCCGATTGGAAGGTAGCTGTCTCGGCTCCCTCACTGGTACTGGTGAATAAATGTCATTAGATAATCTGCAAAACTCATTGCCATAAATTTAGCCAATAGTATTATATAAGCATTCAATACATATACGGGAGGGTACTTGGCATTGGTAGACAAGTCTTTGCTTTTTTTATGTGACATTGAAATGTGGGTTATCAGTATTTGAAAGGGAAGAGTACAACCTTCTAATAGTGCCTTAAGAGAATGCTGTAATTGTAGGCACAATTTGTCCAGGAAAGTAGCATGATGTTCAAATATCAGATCCAGGATATTTGGTCTTTTTGTTCAGCTCGTCCGGTGACAAAGGAGTTTCAAGGATTTCATGTTGTTCTGACTCAGTACCTTTTATAAAAAAAAGTACCTTAGCCTCCTCATCAGTCCGATTCCCATTGCCCAGAACATAGTATAAAGTTTTAAAATAACAATGAAATATTCCTACAATGTCCTGCCAAATGCCTAATTTTTGTGACATTTAGTTGGGAGCATCTTTAAGGCAGAATCCTCAAAAATAACCTACCACCTTTGTCACTATTCCCATTAACGAATTTGTGTTTCTGCAAGAGTTTGCATCTAATTTTTGTATTGAGATGATCTAACACATGTCCTGACAGAATGGGGTAAACATCAGTGTTGCACTCAGCTTTATGACCCATTCCAAACCCCCTTTTCTCCCCACTTGTGTCACTCTGCTCTTACCCCTCCCCTTCTGATACTTTACATTCTGCCAATATCACCCATTCCCACACTTCTCCCAATCCCTATGTTTCCCCCTTACTACACTGCAATCGCCATATCCCACCATGCCACACTACATAATCCTCCCTTCTCACATTTCACAATCCCTGTATCCCCCTTCCTCCTTTACAATACCCATGTCCATCTTTCCAAACTTGACTATACCCATATACCTCTTCCCACACTTCACTAGGATTAAATTTCCCATCTCCAGCATTTTCCATTTTCTTCCCCTTTCATTATATAGTTACATACATAGGTACATACCTGAAAAGAGACTTGCGTCCTTCAAGTTCAGCCTTCCTCACATTTTTTTTTTTCTGTTGATCCAAAAGGAGGCAAAAAACCCAGTTTGAAACACTTCCAATTTTGCAACGAACTAGGAAAAACATTCCTTCTTGACCCCATAATGGCAGTCATATGTATCCTTGTATCAAGAAGCTATTACCCTACATTGAAAAATTATATCCTTGAATATTCTGTTTTTCCAAGTATGCATCTAGTTGCTGTTTGAACATCTGCATGGACTCTGATAAAACCACTTCTTCGTGCAGAGAATTCCACATCCGTATTGTTCTTACAGTAAAAAAACCTTTTCTTTGCCTTAGATGAAATCTTCTTTCTTCCAGTCTAAAAGCATGACCTCGTGTCCTATGTAAAGTCCGGTTTGTGAATAGATTTCCACACAATGGTTTGTATTGGCCCCGAATATATTTGTATAATGTTATCATATCCCCTCTCAGGTGACGTTTTTCTAAACTAAAGAGGTTTAAATTTGTTAACCTTTCTTCATAGCTGATATGTTCCATTCCTTTTATTAATTTTGTAGCCCGCCTCTGTACTTTTTCTAGTGCCATAACATCCTTCTTTAGAACAGGTGCCCAAAATTGCACAGCATATTCAGTATGTGGTCTTACCAGCGATTTACACAGAGGCAAAATGATATTCTCATCCCGAGAATGAATGCCCTTTTTCATGCATGACAATACCTTACTGGCCTTAGTCTCTGCTGATTGACATTGCACATTGTTGCATAGTTTGTTGTCTATAACAATTCCCAAGTCTTTTTCGTGTGTTATTATCCCTAATTCGCTTCCATTAAGGTTATACGTTACTTGTGCATTCTTTACGCCGAAGTGCATAACTTTGCATTTTTCAACATTACATTTCATCTGCCATTTGAGTGCCCAGTCCCCTAGTCTATCTAAATCCCTCTGCAGCAAAGTAATATTTCTATATACACCTATATAATTTGTTTACAGTAGCATGGCCCAGTGGTATTGGAGTCAGTGTCCTAGGAGTGATCTTGCTCTGTCAGTACTCTGCCAGGGGCCGCATGCTGCGTGCAGGGAAGAGGGTTATTACACAATATCATATCCACACTCTGGGGATATTGACACTTATATCAGTAACTACATCCGAATGATATTTTATTATTGTATTATTTTTTTATTTTTTTATTTATAATTCTGGACATGCCATTTGACATACCAGAAATATTAATGAAATTGTTAATTTCTGAGTCTACCTACAAGTTTTCATGAAATAGTGCCTACTAAATATTTATACTTGATGCACGTCAGGTAATAATCATTTAACACTTTATATAACAAGTCCAAAAGTGTTGAAAAATAATTTAAAGACATAATGCTAGACATTTCAATATAATATGCTTGTTCAGATTTAAGTCAGACTAATGGGTCACTTTATTAATAGCCATGTTTATTTTATAGGACATTATTAAAAATATGTTTTTACCCCATGCTGTTTTATCTGTTTCAATACATTTTTGCCAATCTACTACTGTGCTTCAGTGGATGTTATTTTAGGTTCTCTCCCACAAGGTTCTCCTCTGTACTTGCACATCCAACATCACATTCTTTGAAGAAGCCTTTTTAACTATTGCCTTTAGATTTGTAAAATCCCACTTTTCTTTTACAATAGCCACCAATTGTTTTTCCATGCAGCAACATACTCATAAGACGTGACTCATGAAGCCAAAGGGGCTGTATGATGCTGAGATTTGAATCAATTGAGGTCAGTTGTATTGTGCCATTCCTTTGTAATGTAGAAAAAATCTGTAACAACGAGTTCTAGACTTAATGCTCTGTTTCCTCAATGTTAATCTGGCAAAGACAAATAAAAAATATAAAAAATAAAATAAAAAATACTTTAGTGAAATTATAACACTGCTGTATTGAAAATAAAATAGCAAGGTGACATCACATGATTTATAATGAAAAGCATCACTACTACCATTAGAAATCCTGTAATGATGAAGGTGGAACTTCAGAGTTAGCGGTTCAATATTGTGGGTGTTCAGGGTTGGAGGAGGCAAAGGGTTTGGGATTATTGGAGAATTACCTTCAAATTCCTGTCCTCTGAATCTAACATTTTTAGCCAGACTACAACTCCCCACAATCCTTAATTTTAAGTCCCTAAATGCATTCTGCCCCCTAACCCAAATTTATTTGTTTTGGCAGAACATGAGGATACATGTGCAATAGTTGACTTGGTGGACTTAATAAATATGAAAATGTCTTACTTTATTTTATAGGGACAAGCTACTGCACAGAAAGCTAGACTTTACTGTGGCACTTCACCAAGGACAATAGACTTTCCTGTGGTACTTCACCAAGGACTTATGGACACTATTTCAGGGTTATTCACTAAAGTGTGAATTAAAAATGAATTTCAAATTTAAAGTCAAAATTGTTAAACTGGAGAACATATTAATGTCAGCTATGCTTTCAGGTTAGCTTCTCTGGCCAAAATTTGCAATCCACATTGCATTCTTACTTTAGTAAATAATCCAGACAATCCAGTGTATAGGACTAGATAAGAGGTATGCTGCAAAACCTACTCATGGTTAAAATGGATCCCGAAGAACTGAAAACCAACGCAGTTCATGAAGAGGCTCCTAGTACATGAGATTCCCACATGGAATTTGCTTCCATGCTTGTTTTTAAAATGGATCTGCTTATAATAACGACTGCAAGAACATTGCAGATAAAAAAAAAAAAAAAAAGATCAAATTTTCATAAATTCTGACTTTAATTTTTGTTTTCTGTCTTTGTTTTCTAATCCTTACAATTTGCTGTTCAATGAGAACAATAAATATCATGCTTAAAGATAGGCTTTACTGCTTAAATGTGTTTAAATATGGAATAAATGTTGGTTTTGCCTTCAGGATATAGGAGTTTGCCGTCTGTAACTTGTCATTTCAAGCTGAAAGAAGTGTAAAGTTGAGTGTTAGCGACTGCATCAGTCCTGTTGGTAATTTTGATAATCTTGCAAAGAAACCTGGTGTTAGTTTGTTTATGGTTGTCTATTAATTATTACCGCTAATTAACGGTCTCTTACAGTGAAGGTCCGTAGTATGGAAACAGCAGGTAGTTGCTAACTTTACATGACTGATTTTTAAATATTTCTGGCTTGTAGGTAACTATTAGACGAGCATAGAAGTAGATCCTTGCAATTTATCCATTCATTGTCAGTGCTATTTCTGCAGTTGATCTATTCTACAATTAGATATATCAGTTTAGATGATGAGTAATCATTGCAGTTTCAGAGGTGTGAGAGTAAAAACATGCGTTAAGTACACAGCTTTTACACTCAGCACTAATTTATGCATTTTATCCAAATTGAAATTTAGTAGCACATTTAAAAAGTTTAGTCAAATGTGCTACTACCACCAATGCAGTTTTTTTTTTAAAACAAATATTCATCTACAGTTTCTAACTTACTTAAACCTGATATTCATTATTCATGCACTTGTGCAAGCCAGGTCCATTTTATATTATTATTATTATTATTGCCATTTATACAGCGCCAACAGATTCCGTAGCGCTTTACAAAATTATGAGAGGGGGGATTTAACTATAAATAAGACAATTACAGGAAAACTTACAGGAACGATAGGTTGAAGAGGACCCTGCTCAAACGAACTTACATTCTATAGGAGGTGGGGTGTAAAACACAATAGGACAGGAGTTTGCAATCAAAAAAGGTGGGAGTGAGGCAGAACTGAAGGAGAGAGTAGAGTGTTGCCCTTTAGGAGAGAGCAAGAGACGGGTATGTAAGGTAGAGGTTAGTCTGGGAGGCCATAAGCTTTCCTAAAGAGATGCGTTTTAAGGCACTTCTTAAAAGATGCAAGACTAGGGGAGAGTCTGATGGTGGTAGTCAGGCTATTCCATAGAAAGGGAGCCGCCCGTGAGAAGTCCTGCAAGCGTGAGTTGGCCGTACGGGTGCGAACAACGAACTGGAGGTGGTCACGGGCAAAGCGGAGAGACCGAGAAGGGACATACCTATGGATCTGTGAGGCGATATAAGAGGGGCTAGAATTGTTCAGTGCTTTATAGGTGTGAATTAGTATCTTGAATTGACTCCTAAAGGATACAGGAAGCCAATGTAAGGACTGACAAAGGGGTGAGGTGTGAGAGAACCGACTAGAGATGAAAATCAGTCTGGTGGCAGCATTCATTATGGACTGTAGCGGTGCAGTAAGGCTTTTGGGAAGACCAATCAGGAGAGGGTTACAATAATCCATGCAGGAAATTACTAGAGCATGGACAAGCTCCTTGGTAGCATCTTGCGTACGAAAGGGGCGGATGCAGGTTATGTTTTTAAAATTGAATTTACAGGATTTGGCAATATACTGGATGTGAGGCTCAAAGGTGAGGCCAGAATCAAGTATGACGCCAAGACAGCGCGCTTGCAAGGATGGGCTTATGTGGATACCACTAACTTGAAGGGAGAGCGAAAGAGGAGGATCAGTATTAGGGGGAGGAAAGACAAGGAGCTCAGTTTTAGAGAAATTGAGTTTCAGAAAACGGGAGGACATCCAGTCACAGATAGAAGAAAGGCAAGCAGTGACACGTTGCAGGACGGCAGGAGAGAGGTCCGGGGAGGAGAGATATATCTGGGTGTCATCAGCATAAAGGTGGTAGTGGAATCCAAAAGAGGTAATAAGTTTGCCAAGAGAGGCAGTATAAAGAGAAAATAGAAGGGGACCAAGGACACAGCCTTGGGGGACTCCAACCGAGACAGGACGAGGGGAGGAGGTATCATTAGAAAAGGAGACACTGAATGAGCGTTGGGAGAGATAAGAAGAAAACCAAGAGAGGACAGAGTCACAGAGACCGAGTGATTGAAGAGTTTGCAGAATGAGAGAGTGATTAACGGTGTCAAAGGCAGCAGAGAGGTCAAGAAGAGTTAGTATGGAGTAGTGGCCTTTGGATTTAGCTGCGATTAGGTCATTCATAACTTTGATAAGCGCAGTCTCAGTAGAGTGGAGAGGGCGTAAGCCAGATTGAAGAAGGTCAAGGAGAGAGTTGGAATTAAGGAAGTGAGACACACGGGTAAAGACAAGTCCCTTTCCTTGTTATGGCTGTAAATGTTAATAAAACAAATATACTTTTGAAAATCCCACAGGGTTCTACTAACTAAACAGTCAGTTGTGATGAGTTGACATCCAAATATTTAAGTAAGTCATTATATAATGAAATTAATAAATAAATAAAACCTTAATTTCAGCCTTGGCCTGATTTCACATGTCACCTCATCACATCTCACCACAGAATAAATAGAGCCCTGAGTAAGGGTAATTTTCTGCCATTCTCTAATGCAAGCAGTTTATAATTAAAGACTCCGAATATTTAACTCGGAGACATTTATTTTAGTCGCACTGTGATGTAATCATGTCGTTAACAGGGATTTTGGGGGGGGGGGTTAAAAATAGAAACACATTCTCCCTGTGGTCACAATTGTTCACATTCAGTGCATCTATGACTTCTGTTAAAGTGTATGAGAAGCTGTCATGAAATGGACTACATCTTCCTAATGTATACAAGGCTCGATACTGTGGTTTAACAAAAAGGCACGGATCCTGAAATGAAAATAATAGCTATTCCCCACAGGTTATTGCTGAATGTTTCATGTGCCATGGGTAAAATATAGAAAAAAACAAAAAGGAAATGAAGAAACATTAACCCAAATAGAGTAGCCACAGAAAATTTGTGCCGTGCACTTCATATCTGAGAGTCAAATAGAAAGGTCAAATACTGTGGTTACATCGAAGTTTGAAAAATTCACATTTTTTTGGTGCTAAAAAGTACATTTGCTGCCTGCAGTGCACTTCATATCTAAGAGACAAATAGAACCGTCAAATACTGTGGTTACAACGCAGTTTTAAAATTCTATTTTTTTTTGGTGCTAATTAGTACATTTGCGGCGTGCACTTCATATCTGAGAGTCAAATAGAACCATCAAATACTGCTGTGACATTGCAGTTTACCTAATTCACATTTGTTTTGGTGGTAAAAAGTACATTTGTGGCGTGCACTTCATATCTGAGAGTCAAATAGAACCGTCAAATACTGTGGTTGCATCGCACTTTGAAAAATTCAAATTTTTTTGGTGCTAAAAACTTAAATTTGTGGCGTGCACTTCATATCTGATAGTCAAATAAAACCGTCAAATACTGCTGTGACATTGCAGTTTGACTAATTCACATTTTTTTGGTGCTAAAAAGTACATTTGTGGCGTGCACTTCATATCTGAGAGTCAAATAGAACTGTCAAATACTTTGGTTACATCGCACTTTGAAAAATTCACATTTCTTTGGTGCTAAAAAGTTAATTTGGGGCGTGCACTTCATATCTGAGAGTCAAATAGAACCGCCAAATACTGTGGTTACATCGCACTTTTAAAAATGTAATTTTGTTTTTGTGCTAAAAAGTAAATTTGTGGAGTGCACTTCATATCTGAGAGTCAAATAGAACCGTCAAATACTGTGGTTACATCGCAGTTTGAAAAATCCAATTTTTTTGGTGCTAAATAGTACATTTACTGCCTGGGATGCACTTCATATCTGAGAATCAAATAGAACCGTCAAATACTGTGGTTACATTGCACTTTGAAAAATTCACATTTCTTTGGTGCTCAAAAGTAAATTTGGGGCATGCACTTCATATCTGAGAGTCAAATAGAACCGGCACATACTGCTGTGACATTGCAGTTTGACTAATTCACATTTTGTTGGTGGTAAAAAGTCCATTTGTGGCGTGCACTTCATATCTGAGAGTCAAATAGAACCATCAAATACTGTGGTTACTTCGCACTTTAAAAAAATACACATTTCTTTGGTGCTAAATGTAAATTTGGGGCGTGCACTTCATATCTGAGAGTCAAATAGAACCGTCAAATAATGTGGTTACATCGCACTTTTAAAAATTCAATTTCATATTCCGGCTACCGGCATTACAGCGGGTCACGCGAGGGAGCAGAGCAGAGAGCTTAGGGGAAAGTGCTCCCTCGCCGCCCGCCTGCCCGGGGGAGCCCAAAGGTGGCCAGCCGGCCAGCTCTTGGACTCCCATAAATCGAGGCAAACAAGGTATTTGCCTGGGCATTTGGGGGCGTCTTTTTTGCCGCCCCCTGGAAATTGTCGCCCAAGGCGAATGCCTTGTTTGCCTCGCGGTAGACACATCCCTGGGTTACCCCCCACATCATATAAAGCAAACTGACAAACTCTCCCTGCGTTTACCAATTTAGTACTACTGACTTTCTAAATTAATTACAAATTTGATTTTGCTATCCTCAAATATGGGCTATAGAACAGGGTTGCACTGGTGGGGTATATCAGTTGTGTATTGATAATGTGTATATAGAGTAAATGCACATTAAAATATATAAAACAATAAATAAATGCATTAAACATATGTGTGTCTGTGTTTCATAGGTAAGCTGAGAGGTCAGGCATTTTTTTAATTGGGATAAAGGTATATTCTAATCCAGGGTTTAGATGGCACTCAAGATGTTGTGGACAACATCTCCCCTGATGCTTCG